TGGTGTCGTCTGCAAACTTACTAAGGGTGCACTCGATTCCTCATCCAGCTCATTGACAAAGATATTCAAGAGAACTGGCCCCAGGACTGAGCTCTGGGGAACACCACTTGTGACTGACCACCTACTTGATTTAACTCCATTCATCACAACCCTTTGGGCCCAGCCATCCAGCCAGTTTTTTTACTCAGTGAAAAGTATGCCTGTTCAAGCCATGAACAGCCAGCTTCTCCAAGAGAATGCTGTGGGAAACGGTGTCAAAGGCTTTACTAAAGTCTGGGTAGACAACATCCACAGCCTTTTCCTCATCCACTAAGAGCATCACTTTGTCATAGAAGGAGATCAGGCTGGTCAAGCAGGACCTGCCTTTCATAAACCCGTGCTGACTGGTCCTGATGTTATGACTCTAATAGGATATCATGGAGACCCCGTGCTTGTAGGCAAAATGATCGTGCAACTGAAGAAAGGAATCCCAAGAAAAATTTAAAGATTATTTGCAGTGACAATTGCAGCCTCCCCCCCAAAAAATACTTTAAAATGGAATCTTCTTGCTTTTGCATGGATATATATTATTGTCATGTAAAGGAAAATACATTCAACTATAAAGATACAAAATAAATAAAAGAAAGAAACAACACCAGTGAGAAATGTCATTCATATTCTATATGACTGTTCCTCCATTTGTGTGATGTCAAAGGTTACCTAATAAGGATTGAATAGTTTCAAGAGCGCATATGCAACTATGAACTTGTCAAGTCTGAAACTGCTGCACTGATTGCCTTGGTAAGGTCACAATGATGTGAAAGCCGTACAAGCCATTCACTAGAAAAAAAGTCAAGTTTGCAAGAATAATCAGATCTGAGTCCTGGACAGACATCTTGTCCAGGACAGATCTGATGTAACTTTCTGAACTGTTATAGAGGAACCTTCCAAACTAAATAATATAGATGAAACACACTGGTCTTCATTCGCTGCTTTCAATACACACACTGGTAGCCACCCATGCCCCATGCTGCAAATCACACATTGCAAGGTCACGGAAAGCCTGTCTGTGGCAACTTCTGCAGACATTCACAGTTGTGAGAGAACACACGATGCTTACATTGCTGCCTTAGCTAGGGTTGTACACCACAGGGCAGCAGATTTAAACACACTGCTGGAACACTGAGTTTACAGTAAATATGTTACATGGACTCTCTGCAGAAGAGCCGCTTTGCTCTGAAGAAGCTGCCTTCTGATGCCTTACATGTTCTAGCTGTGATGAACTTGAAATACAGAAGTAGCCCCTTAACCACGACATTTGCAGAGCTAAGCAGAAAATACAGGCTTTCTTCTCCACACCTAAGTAAAAACAAAAGCAAATCCCTCAAGAGAGTGATGCTTACCTCCAAATTGCTTCTTCCAGTTGCAGGGAATCTTACACTTCTGAGTCTTGGTGGTTTGTTTGCATTCAGCTCCAGTGCGAGTGCCCTCGCGCGTCCCCAGGCCACAGTCACCACTGGTGGGCACACAGACACTCCACTGCCATTCCCCACAGTCAGACTTCTTCGCCTTTTTCTCTGGATGAAGACAAGGAATCAAACCCAAGCAAAAGAAGTGGTCAGTACCCAGAGCCCATGGAGAAGTTCCCTAAACTTCACTGAACAGTCACAGCACCTGAAAGGGTGAATAAGGAAGACATTCATAAAACAATCGCTTCAAAAGCAAAAGGTCTGGCATCCTCTTCACAGTTCTGCAGACAGGTCAGACTCTTTGACTCCAAAGCAGGGTGGATTGTTCAAATTCAGTTCCACTACCGTGTATGCTAGTCCACTTAGATATTCTCAAGTGGATTCTCCTCTTCAGAATGGGGAATCATCTAGAAACCCTCAGAGATCACTGACCAAAACATGCAGGAGCACTAACTCAGAAACGACACTCCTCTGTCTCCAGTAGCTGATGGCATGCAAATGTTTTCAGTTCCAACTGAAGTACTACACACTACACAGATTAGAAATGCATGTGTTGACGTTGTGTATCAGAGGATTCGAGCACCTCCAGGGAACAGCTGTGGGATACAAATTTTTCACTTGGTATACCATGTCACATTTTATGTCAGAATATGATCAAAACTCCAAAGGCAAAAAAAACCTACATGCAGAAGCATTCTCTAAATGCTGTTAATACAGATGGGTTTGTTGCTCAGGGACAAAAGTAAGGATCGTGATTTCATTTAAATCCTTAAACCCACGTCTGATGAGAAAAGACAGCAATGTTATAAAACTGAAGGGTTCACAAAAATAGTTAGGCCCCCAAAACATCATAAGTAACTTTAACCTTATGTAAAATTATTTTCCTTCTAGCTCTTGTGTATTTACTTTCACATTTTCTCGTATTTCCATACAGCCACAATGGTTAAAACACATTTTTTAATGGGAACACTAATTCTGATAGACTCACAGGTCATATTAACTGGTGTGTAAGTAGCCTGTAAATAATAAGACCTTAAGAAAAACACTGAAAGATATATTCCTTAAAAAAATGTCAAAATTGGGTTTGACAGATATGAATTTTCCACCCCAGGCCTGTCTCTCCTATAATGAGGTGTGAGTTGATCACTGACAGAAAGCAATTACTGCTGGACGTCTGGCTGTCTGTATGCAGCAGCGAGTTAGTTCAACTCTTTGTCGGAGGATTTCCACATCACACAGCATTGGCGTAGCGTTGTCATATACAACACTGAACGAGCGACATGATAACTGCTCTTTCATCACTCCTGTTTGGTTCTCCCTAAGTCAAGCATGAACCTACTCCCAGAGCAAATTTTAAGCTGCCTTGCAATACCTGCGATAAACTAAGGACTCCAGTCTCCAGGGCCGTCAAGCTGCCAGCTTTCATGGAAACTACTTTCTGTTTTCCTGTTTAACACAGAAAAACACGTCATAGCCACAAATTCCTACCTTGTATGTCAAAAGGTTAACGAATGACCTGAATTTCATAACAAAACCAGAAGCATTTGACATTCTCCCACACTTGCACTCTGTCTCGAGGATTAACTCTGAATTACGCTAGACCTTACCTGGTTTTTCTTTTTTGCCGGCCTCGGTGGTACTCACAGCTGCCAGAATGAAAACAAGTGCCAGGAGGGCAGCTGTGAACATTCGACGTTGCTGTTGTTGCTGTTGCATTCTGGGGATTAACAAGAGAGAGGAAAAAAAGGTTGGTTAGACTGTAAAAAGTGGGACCCCCATCTAAAATGTTGCTACAGCGTTTTTGGGAAGCTCTCCTTCAGGGCCACAAGACACAAGCAGGTCAAACGTAATTAGCCATGGGGAGAATGGGCAGTTACCTTCATTCCAGAGAGAATACAAAGATTTTTAACAGTTATTTTCCAGCCTGTGTATCTAATCCCTTATCTACATCACTGATACAATGGATGAGTTTTGCCACAAGAAGTTCAGTAATTATTGTTCATCTTCAGGAAACCTGTCAGAGAATCAAGGTTCCTGATGGGCCGGGAACTACTCCCTTCTTTCCTGACCCCTGGCTGTGATTTATTGTGTAAAACTAAACATAACATATACCTTGTGTTTCACCTTAACCGTTCATATGAGGTAGGGAATGCTACACTGTCCACTTTGCAAGGTTCAAGTTCTTATTAGGCTTACTTGACATCTGAAAAGAGCTTCTTTCATGAAAACTTGTATAGATAATACATAATGTACTATCTTAATTGTCATTGGCATGTTACTACCTACCTTTTCCTTCCCCTCCAATTAGTGTCTCCTCCTAATATCAATTAAGCTAATTACCTGAAATGCAAAATAGGCACAAAGATAGGACTTCCACACACAGCTAAAGGCCATCCATAGCATGCTAATGAACCCAAAAACCTGGATTTGGGAAGCAAATATTCAGATATAAAAAGGTATTAAAAACATCTGCTTGGTGGTGAAGCATCAGTTATTAGCCAATCACCAAAAGTCATTCAGAGCTGGCTGATTTCAATGGCTTACACACATATTTCCCTTTCACTTTGCTATAATTTTATTGTCTCATTTTGGCATTCTTGACTTAAAAGAAGGGCCGTAACAAATACATATGTTAAAAATAAGCAACTTCCCCATTTCCCAGAGACATATCTCTAGTAGACAGCTGGGTACCAAGATGGTGGAGTGGAGATCACTCGTATGGAAAGTCTCCCCAGCTTTTTTTTTTTTTTTTCCCAACTAGGGACCATGACATTCATCCTATGCCAGTCCTCTGAGGAGGTGTCAACACTGCTAACCACTAGGATGGCCTTAAAAACCCCACTAAACTGATGCTACAGAGAGTTTAGAGGGAACCTGAGCTCATTTTGCTGAGCACAGCAACCTTAGGGAAGAAATAATTCTCACCATGAACAAAGAACAAAATGTATTTGAAATTTAATTTGGCGCTCCTCAGTATTCCCTGCTGGCAACCTCTTATGCAAAAGCAACATAATTGTAATTGACGTGGAAAACAGGAGAGGAATCCCAAACACAGAGACTTTTAAGTATTCAGCTTTAATAACCCGCTAGAAGCCAGATGAGAAAATTTAATAGCTTCCTTTAAATATAGTTCATGTGAAGATTGCAAGAGACTTGGCATTCAAATGTCTGAAAGAGCTGTCATTAGCCCCAGTTTGATTTACTTCAAAAGAAAGTATCATTTCCCGTCATGAAGAAAGGACCACCAGCAATTCCAGTGAACTCAGAACCCAGAACTAGAGAGCACGAGTCCTGCATGAGCTTGGGTTTGGTTTTCCCTTTTTTCTGCTACGTGTTTACACTTAGAGCCTCTCATGTTTTACAGATAATGAAATATATAAAATAAACAATAAAAAAAAAAAAATACACAACCTGCCTTTTTATTCGGCTTACCTCAAACTGGTTCTCCATAACCACAGTTGCAACACTGTTGAGACACCAAACTTCCCCTCTCAGCCCCATTCTCTTGGAGAAACTTCACCACCAGTCGCACCACACCTCATCTCACATCCCACTTTCACAACAATTTATCTTCTCACCTCCTCTCTTCTAAACAACTCAGCAGACTCCCTCGTTGAAGGAGTATTAAGCACTTGTGTGGAAATATATGGAGAGACAAATTCTTCCACAACCTCAAGACACCATCCCAGCACGCTGTCTGGGGATGTGAGAAGCTGCAGCAAGGCAGCATCGGGCTGTGTGTTGCACAGGATGTCGCCACACAAGAGATGCCTGCAGTGGGCTTAGGGCTCCCTCCTGCATCCCTGCTGCCCACCCCAGGGACCTGGGATGCGGTCACACGTACCCCAGGGGCTGAGGGCAGTCACCAGGAGCCCTGGATAACTGCTTCTAGGGAAGCTGCCTTGTATTAAGCTGAGAAACACTCGAACTCAAATCTGATCAACATTATTTTCAGCAAAACAGGCAGGGAAAATAGTTGAGTTTTGGAGTCTAAAATGTTCCAGAAGCCTTATAAACAAAACCTTACAGAACCTTAATATAGCATGTTTTCCTAAGACTCCAAGTCTCCCTACAGCCAACATACTTGCTAAGTAGACTAAGGCAAACACTAAACCTGCATATATATATCTATATATATCTCTCCCTCTGGCTGAAAGAGCCAGGCTGCTTCCAGAAGTGCCTTTACTATTAATTACCAACAAGTGAAAAGCCATATTGTACAGAAGGAGGCCTTGCCTCACAACACACCTAGACCTCAAATTTGATGTAACCGGGGTGACTAAAGAAAACTGCATAATTGTTTTGCAAGTGACAGATCAGCAAGAACAGGTGCTCCCACAAAATTACAAATGCCACTGACAGCCTATATACAGTACCTATTAAATATAAGATTTTTTTTTAGTAGGCCAGAAAACTCCCACCCACCAATAAACATTTGAGTTCAATCTTCAGTTTTCCTTGGAAATATTTCAACTGGCCATTAAAAAGATGGATCAGGAGAAAAAATTGTCAAACTGGACTGGTTCGTGAAAACAATATATTCCACTGAAAAAAAACTTTATCTTTTTTTTTTTTCCCAAAAAAAATTGTAGGTGACAATTTTTCCTTTTCATTAGATTCTGTGATAACATTTCTAGCGCAAACTTTGGTTTAAAGAACTGCCAAAAAATTCTAATAGCAATGAAAAACAAGTGTTTCATGACATGCAAAATGTTGACTTTTTTTTATAATGACCCTTCTATCTTGCACCAATGGTAACAATTAAATCATGTGTCATGAAAGGAAAGCATTTCTAAAATCCTGTATGACAGCCCCTAAACAGAGCATGGCATCAGCATTTAAACAAATGGTAGTGGCATTTACAATCAACAGGTGGAGACAAATATAAAAGAGAAGGAAAGAAAAGAGATGTTTGGGGTGAAACTTCAGAAGAGAGAAAAGGTAAAGAGAGAGAAAAAGAGAACAGTTTAAATGGCGAGCTGGAACGAGAGCAGAAAAAGAGAGTGAGTTATCATGAAAAGAGCACCAAAACAGGAATGGGAGCAGTAGTTAGTGATGGTTAAACACTAAACCAGAGAGTGTTAGGAAAACATGACGTGTATAACGAGGTAAGAAGCGAAGCCCAGCTGAGATGCACCATAGCAAGTGGCTTCTGCCAACAAAAATGAGGCCCAGGAATTACTTCAGTCTTACGGTTGATTTCACAGTCAATCTCTGCTTGGGAGTAAAAAAATGAAAGGAAAATTAAAAAATGGGAGCCGATCAGAAAATTAATGACTTCATCAACTATACATCCATGGGTTCAATTGCACGTTGAGAACCAGAAAGAGAGTCAGGAAGAAGTCACGGTACAGTTGCAGTTTAAAGGACTTTCTGAGTGGAGCTTAAGCCTCCCATTCCAAATCCCTCACTACCCCCAACCTGATTTTACAATTGCACTCATCTCTCCTGAACCTGATTCATTAAATCATATATTACAGTATACAGTACAGTCCACATGACTAAGTGTACCAACTCTTTTGAGGAAATATCTATCCTATAAGCTAAAGGAGGGTCGATTTAGATTAGATGTTAAAAAGAAATTCTTTACTGTGAGGGTGGTGAGGCACTGGAACAGGTCGCCCAGAGAGGTTGTGGAGGCCCCATCCCTGGAAGTGTTCAAGGCCAGGTTGGATGGGGCTTTGGACAACCTGGTCCAGTGGAGGGTGTCCCTGCCCGCAGCAGGGGGGTTGGAACTAGATGATCTTTGAGGTCCCTTCCAACCCTAACCTTTCTATGATTCTATGGACTGCAGCACAAAATCCCAGCTCTACCAGAGACCCAAACCAGTATCCACAGAGCACAGCACATGCAGACACTTCTATTTGGATCCAGAAGCACTACAGACGCTTTCATGCAGTGCCAGGCTTTGTCTAACAGCCCAAGAGAAAAAATTTACTCCCTCCAATCCAAGACCTTCCAAATGCAGCTTGCTTCCTTCATACCCAAGTTGGCAGCCCAAGGTGGCCCAGCTGTTTTCATGCTGTGCTCAGTAGACCTTTGGGTCTCTGTTACCGCAAGTCAAGCTTGCTGGAGCAACTCCATCTGCACTCATGCAATTAACTTATGCACAGGTTCTTCATTTCCCACATTTGAACAAGTCTTTCCCGAACACAAGCATCCAACAAAGCAATTTCAGATGAAGCTCCATTGGTGAGCAAGTGTTTATTTTTCATAGCCTTACTGAAACTAGCATATGCGGCACATCCTAGGATCACATATGCCTTTTGCAGGTGGCTTTTTTGCTGTTAGTAACTATTACTCACAAGCCCTTCCATTCATCTGTTCTTTCCAAAGCTACTGGCATGGTCCCAGATTACAGAAGCAAGTATTTTATTATTAGTCCATATGAGTGTAATCTCCCACTCTGAACTATCAGGTTTTCTCACATGATTTAACCCGTCCATACCGTCCAGCTATTCCAGTATAATATGCCAAACATCAGCTGTGTTAATAATGCTGTTACCCTGCAACCTTGCACGTACTGCAATGCTGTATGTATTGTCATCGCTAATGACAGGCCAGGGGCCTTGTAGTGAGTTTGCAAGGCCTCAGGACCGAGGCTTGTCGAGGCTTGCTCTGTCCGAGCTTTCCTTGGCCTGTCTGCAGCTTCGTCACATTTGGTTTAGCTGCAACAGCAATTTTTCTAATTGACTAACTAGCTATGGCTAATTTGA